TACTTTCACTAACTAGCTGTACGTGAACTAACCAGATGTAGGTTAACTAACCAGCTGTACTTTCACTAACTAGCTGTACGTGAACTAACCAGGTGCGATGGTTATGACTCTGATGCCCATCGGTGCCAGGTCTCGTGCGATCGGCAGCGTCATCCCGACGATTCCTCCTTTAGACGCTGAATACGCAGCTTGTCCGACCTGCACATCAAAGAGTTCCATTATTATTTAATAATAACTTTGATCATTATTTAACTCCAACGACTATTTTATCAATGAACAACGTTTGTAATTTACAACAAACTTGAAGCCGATTTAACTTTACTGTTGTTCGAGTGTTTTGAAATCACCTGTCCATCAAACGCTGCCACGCTGGCCGTGTTGATGATGCAGCCTCGGTGTCCGTCAGCGTCCGGCTCGTTCTTTCCCATCTCACCGACGGCCAAACGGATCACATTAAAGGTTCCTGCGATATTAACCTGCAGAGAAAGACACGTCTCACACCATCGTCTGAGGACACGTGACTCATACTTGTTTTCATGTGTCGTACGTTGATGACGCGCTGGAAATCTTCCAGGCTGTGAGGACACTGCTTTTTAAAGTTGTACGTCTTCACAGCCACAGCGATGCCGGCGCAGTTAACGGCCAAATCCAGTTTCCCAAACTTCTCTCTGGCCAGAGACACGGCCGCCTGCACGTCCGCCTCCGACGTCACCTGGGAAACCACAGGGAACAAGCTGCTTTCACACCCGCACTGAACTCTGGGTAATCTCCTGAAATCTTCCAGAGCTTCTGTAAAGACCTGTAGAAAATGTCTGGACACTATTTTAAAGAGTGCCACCTACTGAGCTGAGGATGTATTACACCTGCGGTTCCAGCTGCAGTTTAATATAAATTCAAATGAATTGAATTCACAACAGAGCGAAAACAAACTGTCTGTTGTTGTTTGTGTCAGTGACTCATCTCTTCTTTTATAAGGTCAAATTATTTTTTAGTTCCTCGTGTTACTATTATTTCTACACTATTGTTATACTTTATGCACAAACACAAATCCCTTGTGTAAAGCTACTTGTCAATAAACTGTCTGAGCAGCTTTAGAAGGACAAGGACACATTTTACTGTCTCTGTTAGTATAACTGAAACTACAGGACATTTAAGATCCGTGGGAACATGTTTGACTCACGTCTGCAGGAGCGAAGACACATCGATCTCCCAGACTGGAGGCCAGAGCATGTCCATCAGAGGACGGCAGGTCCAGGACCACAGCGGACGCTCCGCTCTGCACCAGACGCTCCACGGTGGCTCGACCCAGACCGGACGCACCGCCCGTCACCAGGCCGACCATCCCCTGGACCACAGGGACGGTTATAGAAAATACAATATAAGCAATAATATATAAATACTTTATATTTACATACTTTATATTTACATACGTTTGTTTACATACGTTTGTTTACATACTTTATATTTACATACGTTTGTTTACATACTTTATATTTACATACTTTATATTTACACACTTTATATTTACATACTTTATATTTAAATAGTTTTTACATCAG